AATCAAAGGGGGAATAGGTGTATTTCAGTCGCAGCTAAGACGGTGGCGACTAAATACAACGTTCACTTGAATTTGAAAACACCCTCTTCTCAAGGCTCTAAAGCCAAGTCCTGCCCCAAATGGGCTGGTGTCGCCCACAAGCAAGGACGTTTATGTTATTCACGTGGTTCAACTCCGGTGGTCACTTCTGCAGTGTTCCTTGACCAACTTCTTCTTCCAACAGAGTGGAGTTCTTTTGTTTCTATCTTATCTGTGAAGAATGAAGCAGGTCTAAAGATAGTCAACATTCTTGAAATTCTCTCCACTGTGGAGCAACCACATTTGTAAGTGCCTCTTTGCACAGGGCCCCTGGTGCCAGGGTTAAAATGGAAAATAATCACACACACTGAAAGCAAATAAAACAAAAAGAAAGGACAGGGCCACCACCAGGCAAGAACCACAGTCTGCAGTGGGATTTCTTTCACATATTTCATGGGAAAGCTCAACACTTAAAAATCATTTTGAAGGCATTGATTGACTAGGGAATCTCTAAAAGGCTATGTGGCCGGTTTGTAGCATTGATTTTTAAAATATACTTCACAAATTCTCTTTTATGCAAGGGAATATCATTAAAATAAGTTTAATTTCAGAATATGAAAACCAGCCCCCACCTCCCACTCCTCCAACCCCACTGGGATGTCCATGGAATACTGGCATTTCTGCAGGATCTTGACTTTTTTTTTTCCCATTTGAGGTGTTAAAAAATAAAATTGTGTAACTTTAAGAATAATAAATATATAAAAATCAGAGTTAAAATCCCTCTGCCTTACCACCTATATGCTTTCGCCTCAGACTTTCAACATTTTCCATTCCCAAAGAGGGAGAGAGACTGATTGGAGAGCAAGGCCCCAGACAGATACCCAAGCTGTGTCCCTATTTACAAAGTATGTTGCCTCCAGCCTCGCAATTATCAATGGTTAAGTGAGCCGGGAGTTTCATTTCCTACTAGCCACCCCCTCCCCTTCCTCACCAATTCATGCTACACAGAGCGTAGTTTTAAATGAGGATAGTTGTGAAAAGAGACATGGGAAGTATCATTATGTGAAATTTCTCTTCCTTCGCGATTTTAAGTATCGCCTATTGAAAAGTTTGTCCAGAAGACCAGATGGCTTCGACAGTGTGGTTCTTCCCTACCAATAAAACAATGATTTAATACTAGCTTATTGTGACAGGAACTAAACATTCCTGAAGTCCCCATGGGTCTCAATTATCACAGATTCAAAGCAGAAAAAAAAATCTGTGTGCGTAGGTGCGTGTACATGTGTGTCTGGGGGCGAGGAGTGCAGGGTGGGATAGGGGAACAATGCTAAAAATGGGGGAGACGGGGCATCTGGGTGGCTCCATCCATTAAGCGTCCAACTTCGGCTCAGGTCATGATCTCACAGTATGTGGGTTCGAGCCCCGCTTCGGGCTCTGTGCTGACAGCTCAGAGCCTGGAGCCTGCTTCGGATTCCGTGTCTCCCTCTCTCTATGTCCTTCCCCAGCTCATGCTCTCTCTCAAAAATAAGTATTAAAAAATTTTTTTTTTAAAAAGGGAAGATTGACTATAAAAACCCCCAAAGGAACTTTATAAAGGGATATAAATTTTAAAAAAGGGAGGGGGGGAAGACAGCATTTTCTTTACTTTTTAAAACCATTTGGGGAAAACATAGGTCACGGCAAGGGAGAGAGAATGAGAAACGTGGTTTCCCCCGTCAGTTGACTCTAGGAACCTGCCCACTCTTACTTCCTACTTCTTCAATTACAAAACTCCAATGACACTGCCCACCTCCTGCCCCCAGCACGCTCCCTGTGATGGATGGAGCCCCTCAGGCACCCCCATGAGGCCTCTGAAGAAAGTGGGAGGGAAGCTCAAGTTACCAGGGCCACTGGTAAAACTGATGAAGTGAGTTAGGTTCTGGTCTGTTTTGTTTTTTTTTTTTTCCATTCTAATTTAGGAAATGGGACGTTACCACGAGGACAGGGGCTTGCCCAGGGTGACACAGCTTCACATGTGTCATTACTTCACCCTGTGCTTCCCAGGAGCTCCATCCGCTCAAAGATGCCCTAGGTGTTTTGCTACCGTTGGGTCTGGGCAGAGGGCAAAAGCGCCCAGGAGGTGGGGAGAGAAAACTCTTCACAGGACAAACCAAGGTTAGCATGAGTAGTAATCAGGTTCACTCACTTAAAACCACGTACCCCCCCCCACCCCCCGACCCCGGCCTGCGCCTTCCTCTCCTTCAGTAAAATCCGCGGGGCAGACAGGACAGGTAAAACCATCCTCAGGTTCACAAAGGCACACACGAAAAGGTGCAAGGACGTGTAGGAGAGAAGCTTCCATGGCAGAGTTAAGTCACTTGAGGCCTGTGCACACCACAGCTGTGCCCGGGGCCTCCACGCTGCACACCGTCTCCCCGGCTGAGGCCGGGCTTCAGAGGCTCTCCCCAGCCAGGCGTTCCAGACGCGCTGGCCAGCCCACCTGTCCCCACCGCAGCAACAGATGGCCCTGTGGCCAGCAGGGAGCTCCGAGTTCTTAAGATTGCTGGATGTGCCCCCCGAGAGGCCCCTGGGGAAGCTCCGGTGTCCGTGCCCTTCAGACGGGAATGCCGACGTCCTTCCAGGAGGCCCCCGGTCCTCCTCACTCTGCTGCGTGCCAGCTGCGGGGACCCTCGACAGTCAGCCTCGGTGGCCTCATCCCCACAATGGGAATACCACTTGGCGTGACTCCTGACGGGTCTAGAGAAGGCGTTTCTGATCGTCTGACTCACCAAGGGGCTCCCATCAAGTCTGAAAACAAAACACCTAAAAGCTGCACTGTTTCTGAAAACCCACTCCCACACACAAAGGCCTTGGGCTCCGAAGAGGGGCCAGGAGGAGGGCTCCGTCGTCCTCTGCGTGGAAAAAAGGGGGCCAGGAAGGCACCCACCTGTCTTCCTGGGGCCGTGTACTATTACATCAGTATCAGACACAACCGTGTATGTAAAGGTACTTGGCGAGGCACTGCACTAAGGTTACTATTATAACTGGGTTCTAATTAACGTATAAATTACTGACATTCCTCACTATAACTCCTCTTAATCTTAAAAAACAACTCATTTGGGGTATTATTTCAACTCATTAATTAAAACTTTTTTTTTTTTGAGAGCAAGCGAGCACGCGAGTGGGGGAGAGGGACATAGGGAGAGAGAATTTTTTTTTTTTTTGAGTTTATTTATTTTGAGAGCAAGGGAGAGTGGGGGAGGGGCA